TGTCTATTACTTGCTCACTGATCCCTATTTTTAAATATTTAATCTACGTCCCTGATAGGAATACTGAAAAATGAGGGCTGCAGTCATTATACCTAAAACTGCCCACTTTTGCCACCGCGCATCCACGCCATTTTAAAATTTCCGACAGCTTCCAGCGTCAGGCCTGTACCTACCTTAAATTCGCCTTGCAAATTTCATCCCTTTCAGTTTTGCAAGCGATCTGAAAAGATTGCCATCGTATTGTATACATATATGAATACTGTTTTACTCCAAAATTTCAAGCTGATCCCGATGAGACGAGCTCCCGGGCTGAGCTAGTTGCTATGAGTATGTAGGTATAAGAAAATTAAACGTAGCTCTGTGAAACTGCACTATACATATAACGCGTTTCGGCACCCAAGGTGTCGTCCTTGCGTCTCCAACTTTTCGGTTTTAAGTTTTTTAAACGTTTCTATGTGGAATTTCGGTGTTAGGATTTTGTATGTTTTCACTTTCATGTACAATATTTTTTTCTGTTGGCACTTCATTAACGATATTGTCTTACATACTCTCCAAAACAGACGTCTAAAATAAGTGTAGCCGAGTCCAATCTTTCATCTTGTTCTGCTCTCAGAAAATCTCATTTTTTGAGACGAAGTTCTTTACCGCATGTTACGGCGGCAAGAAGCTAATCAGTTTATCTATTCGCTGGTCTTTTACTGGAGTTTCCTTATATTTCCCTAGTTTCTCACGACAAAAACAGGATATATAAACAAAAAAAATAGTTTAGTGCAAAAAAAGGAAGATTTTTTCTTGTCAGTTATTCACAAGTATGTAAAGTACAAGTAACCCTTAAATAACAAGAATTCATTTACCACAAAAATTAAATTAAATAAAAATTCCCTTAAACTAATGCTGTTCTGATTCGGGTCTAAGTGGCGTCGTGTGTTGAAGTTGCTTTCTAACGTTTCGTTAGCACGAGTGGCGAACTTCTTCAGAGGTCCTTCCATCTCCGATGCTGGGTGCGGACTGACTGTCAGCCAAACGTTAGATGCGAATTAGAACAGCATTATTTCACCTACTGGTCGCGAAAGCTTCTACCAGTTTGTCAAAAATCCCCTTTCCTGTTGGCTCTAAATTCCCTTGGTCTAACCCCAAAAATGGAACGTGTTAGTGGACATCCCTCTCCCTCTTGATTGCTGCATGCATAGAGAGAGAAAGAGAGGGATTTCGAGATAGGTTCGGTTACTCTACCATCAGATGAATACATATTCAATATGAGTTTTTTTTCCGGAAGCTAACCCATTGGTATCAGCTGACAGTCCTACAGATAACTTAACATATCTATATATGTTTACTAAATCACAAATTAATAAAATATTGCTTTTATACTCACAAGAATCTCAAGCGGGTCCACTTACTCATAAATAAAATTGGAATTTGATAAACAGGGTAGCTTTAGGTGTAAAATATTTTTTGTAATTATCTCAGAATATGGTTTTTGTGACTTTCTGCAAGGGGCTTTGCATTTATTACATTACTGTTGTCTTCATTTTTATTTATTAATAAGGAAACGCTAAATCGGATGCATATTTTAATAGTCTATTTCCTTTTAAGCTTGGGCGGAAATTGAAAAGACTGTATGCGTCTGTTGACGATATCGACCTTTGGGTTGGTGGCTTGCTGGAACCCAAGTATTCCGGAGGTTTAGTGGGAACGACTTTCAAGGACATCATTGGAGATCAATTTTCCAGGCTAAGAAAAGGAGATAGATTTTTCTTTGAACATAGTCCAAAAAATAATCCAGAAGCTTTTACTCCAGGTAAAAATATAAAAAAAATACAACATGTAATTATACAACACGCTACTGAAGTGAAACTTCTTTAAACACACAAACATATCGGGATAGGGGTTAAGGAATTGACGTCAGTGGCGTCGTTTCGACGGTATAGGCACACATACACAAACACATACAAATACATTCATACATTTTGTTAGGGCTACACTAAACATGTCGGAGTTGCCTGTAACGAACGTTGCATTGAAGCGCGCTCACGGCTCAAGCGATCTCCACTACGAACTCGACTACGTGACCGAGTAGAGGGGGACATCCGTTGCATGATTTCGTTACATAGCAACTCGTATGAAACGAACTTACCCTACCGTACGTAAAAAAGTTTCACTTCAAAAATTGGATAGTTATGGTAAAATTTTTTGGCATAGTAACAATTGATGAGATAGGTCGATAGTGGATTTAATTAATTCACCTAAGACTAGATTATTTTAAATTATTGGCATTCCAAGGTAGGTATGTTCTTTTAAGGATTTTAACGTACAATTTGACTAACAACACAGTTTCTCGGGTATAGGTATTAAGGGGGCATCCATTAATTACGTGAGCTCAGAATAGGGGGGGGGTCCACCGAAATCTCACCAAATCTCATTTAAACCGACGGGGGGCATAATGGAAAATCTCACGTCAACTTCAAAAAATATAAAATATTACAGATATTAAAAAAATATATTTTGAGGGTTCATTTTGACCGAATAATAAAAATAAATTAAGTTTAAAATATTTTTAGCGTCAATCTCACGTAAGAGGGGGGGTCCTGACAAATCTCACTAAATCTCACCTAAGGGGGGAGGAGTCTAAAATGACCGAAAAAGAGCTCACGTAATTAATGAATGCCCCGGTTACTGCCGGTATTTTAAAGTTTATTTTACAATAAAAATTAGCAATTCATTAATTAATCAATAATGTATTTTTCGTTGTTGTTCCTTATTTCTTCTCAAAAATCACTCGGTTTCGACTCGAAAAATTTATTTAACCAAGCGCTCAATGCTGCACTAATATTGATCGAAATTCCACGCATCGCATTTGAAAGAAATAGAAAGAGGTGGAAATCGTTAGTGCCAAGTCGGGAGTGTACGGCGGGTGGGATAGCACTTCCTAGCCATGCGTTTGAATGGTTTTCTTGATCATCTTGACATTGCGAGGGCCGGAGTTGTTGTAATGCAAAAGAACTTTCAGGAAATGTTTTCTTACCAATAATTATATAATAGGTGAGCATGGTTACACATTGTTATACTGTTCAATGGAGAGGAGGGATGTGGATCCGTGTGGTTATATTTTTCTACATTTGCTAATATTATTTTTATGAGGTAATAGTTTCCATTAAACAAACAAGTTCTTGTAGTGCCAACAAATTATTCGTAAATTTTCCAAAGGTTATCAAACTTCGTAAAATTCTCCTTCTAGTTTTGAAAGGTTACTTATATGTTATATATGTCTTCTGTAGCAGGTAGGTATGTTATTACATTAATATGATTGCGAATATACCCGTAGGTTAAAGTAATGAACTGAACAATCCGGTAATTCGATAATCCACTTATAAAGTGACTTCAGGCACTTCTTTTCTTGCCAGTTTTCTTTCTGATAAAATTAGTAATAAATAAACAAATTAGATAAATAAGGCGTACAGAACATATCGTTGCAATATTTATTATTTTATTGAGTTATTGGCTTTTGCCCACGGCTCTGTTCGCATTGAAGTTGTAATGTCAACCTTTGGTGATTTTAGATAAGTACATAAATAGCGTGATTCCATAGAAGTAGTAGACAGATAGAACCATCGACGTTTACTAATGGACGTGTCTTAGCGGTCAGAATTGTGGTACAAAAGAAAAAGATGGAACGAAGTTTCGGACAATGTCCATCTCTCTCACGATAGTGTGTAAGCATGTCATGAAAGAGATAGACTAGTCCGAAACCATACGCCATCTCCCTCACTTTTCGAACCAAGAAATTATTACAGTGACATACGTCTAAGGCACGTCCATTAATATATGTCTATGGATAAAACAAAGAAGTTCATGGTGATTAGCTAGACGCGGATTGCGATTTCGATCTTGTTGGATCTCATCAGCGCATTAGTGGTAGACAGTTTCGATAGAACACTGACAAACACTTTTCTAGATAGATAGAAGATACTCAACGAAGAAGCCAAAACTCAAAAAATATGTATAGAAGCAGGAGATATAGGGGAAGTAAGGACAAAATGACAGGGTGTTTTGATTTACAGTCTTTTAATTGAATAGGAACTAAATCAAATTAAATATTAAGAAATAAATGGACGAATCAAAAAAAAACATTTTGTCCATATAGTATGGACAAAATGACACTAAATATGGGTATAATGACATACCAAAAATTTAAGAACAAAGTTCGCGAATAAATCTTTTAGGCTTCTTTGAGACATTAGCACAGAAAGCGTGAGCCCAACGAAAACAACTCATGCATCTTGACCAGCTTTCTCCCGGCTTAGATCGCGAATAAAGATCATTTCAATAAATGAAGGGACAGACTTCTTCATCCTCATTTTCGGCAGCAAATTCTTCATTATCGTAGCTGGAATCGATAGTTTTAGCAAATTGACGATGCCTCTTTGGTATCTACCTTTTTTCTGCAGCTTTAATCTCAGTGCTTTTGGAACTAGGATTTTGCTATTAGGTTTGCCATCATCAAAAGGCACTTGTTTATCTCTCTTCTTTTTGGTGAATCTTTTGGTCTATTTTTTGCAATAACTTCTTCCATATTTGGGGTTGAAGTTAAAGGCCTATGTCTTTTGACAAGTTTGACTTTCCTTATTCCTTGGCCTCGAACGAATTGCCCCTGCGTCACTGGCGAAATTATTGCAATTGGAAATTCAAGTGAATTTGATGTGCCTGGTTTCACACCATCATCGTAAGTTGCTCTAGTGCTCCCAAATCATTTTGCCCAAATGTACACAACAAATATTAAAAATCATATTTAATTAAATCGATTGAAAATTGTATTAATACTAACTCAAATCACAAGTTTAAATCATAAGTCTTCAATATACAAATATAACACAAAGCTCATCAAAAATCCAAATAAATCCATAAATAAAATAAATTTTTATGGACACGAAACACGNTAGAGTGTACTAGAATAAACTGGAAGAGTCGAGAACCTTTATGTATTAGTGGTAAGAATGACTTTGACCGCCGTATTAGACTATCTTATACATCTAAAAAAAAAGGTTAATGGACACGAAACACGTTCCCACTCGTAACTTCAAAGAGACTGGCCCAATCGCGTTGGGTTTCTCGCAGGATTGTAAAAATGACCCCCGTCACGTGTTGTTATGTACGTGACCTCGCTATAGCCCGCCAAATTCGAAATAAACACGCTATGTCCTTTTGTCCATATATGCCATTTTGTCCGTATTTCCCCTACCTTATATACTCATTCATCCGGTTAAAAAGCGCGACATGGATCTAAACCTCAGTGAAGCCGCGGCATGGATGTTAAATAAATAATCTATAGATTACAGGAATTTGGAATGTGTTCCTTATTATTACGATAACAATAGCTAACGTATTGTAATTCTGTCATATTTTCATATTATTAGCATAATTATTCTTTACCATATGTACCGTGAAACGGGGTGAAGTCGATCAAAAAACTCTGTTTTTCGAATATTTTACCGCTAATTTTACGAATCAAAATTCTGAAAAAAAATAATTTATGTTCCTCAAACCTTCCCTATGTTATGTTGAGAACTCCAATCTAAAATATTCATTCACAGAAAAAATATTTTATGTTAATGTGTGATCGACTTCACCCCGCCTAATGGGGTGAAGTCGATCACCCTTTAAAAAGTGTGTAGAACGACTTCACTAACTTAATGGGGTGAAGTCGATCACCAAATATATATATTTTTTTTTTCAAAGAAACTATTATTAATTTAAACAAATTCTTTATTTAAATCCAAAAACACATCTCATAAAGATTCTTTTTACAGAAATAAACTAACTTTCTATTCTACATTATAGTTTTCCAAATTATTAAAAATAAAACGCTGTCGTCTGCCTTCTTTTCCATCAACTTTGCAAATAATGCTACTCATAGGTGTTGTTTGCATGTCAGGGACATCAGGAAAGGTGAAATAATGTTGTTTATAGCTTATGTTCTTTCTAAGATACGATATTTCGAACTCATCGTCATTTTGTTTTGCAACAACGCGCCCAACAAACAATCTATACCTTTTGCTAGTGGGAAATTTTACCAACACAAAATCGCCAACATCAGCTGTATCATTTCTAGCATTACTACTTTCCACCGTATTCGCCCTTACAATGTCATCTTCCTGTTCCTGTTCGCTCTTATCATCGTCAAAATTATGGCATTCAATTCCATCCATCTTTTCTTCATCCATGTCTGCTTCTTCCCCTTCCTCTTCCTCACTTGAACTTAAAAAATCACTCACTACGACACCTTTCCCTGGAAGAATATTCAATCGCTTGCCTCGCTGTTGGCGCGTTGCGGTTGTTGCATTTGATCGACATAAGTTGAGATGTTCAATTAATGTTTCACTCCACCTTTGTCCAGCCTCTTCTTCAGCATGAACCTCTTCGGATGGCTTTGGCAACTTCTTCAACACTCTTTCTCTGTTTAAAGGGACTATTCCACATGCTGCAAATCCAGCAATCACATTGGTCGCTAAATTTATACCCACTTTGTCCAATGTTTTTTTTAACAAGGATGGAAATACACTTTTAGGCACAACTCCTCTATTCGATGCCTTCCATTCGTCTAGAACATTCCTCCAGGCTGCTTTTAAAGGCCGAAAAAAAGCAACATCCAGTGGTTGACAAATGTGAGTGGCATTCGGCGGCAGGAGAACAAACACGATGTTATTAACTTCACACGAACGTATCACATCTAACGAAAGATGACTAGACAGATTGTCGTCAATTATACAAGTTTTTCCATTCAGTTTTCGTACATAGGGTAATAATATCTTATCAAACCAATCCTGTAACATCTCCAAGTCGAACCAACCACTGCTATTTCGGTTATAGTCAGCACCATGGACACCA